TTATATCAATTAATAAATATTTTTTTATATTAATAATTCTTTTGTATTTTATTTGAATTTTATTAGGTAATAATTTTTAGAGTTTCTATAATTTGAAATATATTTCGTGTTAGAGTTTGAATAAATATTTTATTTGAATTTTATTAGGTAATAATTTTTAGAATTTCTATAATTTGAAATATATTTTGTGTAGCAAGGAAAAAAAGACTTATAGAGAGTACATATTTTTTTTGAAACAACAAATAGATAAAATAGTTAATTTGAATTTTATTAGGTAATGAAATGTATTTTGTGTTAGAGTTTTAATAAATATTTTATTTGAATTTTATTAGGTAATAATTTTTAGACTTTATATAATTTGAAATACATTTCGAATTAGAGTTTTAATAAATATTTTATTTGAACTTTATTAGGTAATAATTTTTAGAGTTTATATAATTTGAAAGATATAATTTGAAATATATTTCGTGTTAGAGTTTTAATAAATATAGTACTACTCTTGATTTAAAAGGCCTAGAAAGGTTAGCCAAAAGGTCGAGAAATGTGTGATTATTATTTCTTTAGGTCTATAGTTTTATAAGAGGCTTCTATATAATCCTTTTAATTTAAAATCAATGTAGGACAAGAAAAATGAATTTTATTAGGTAATTTATAATTTAAATTAAACTCTTTAAATTAATTTTTATAAATTTTATTAGGTAATTTGTAATTTGAATTAAACTCTTTAATTAATTTTTAGGTAATTTTTTGTCTCTTTTTTTATATTAATAAATAAATACTGAAAGATTGAAATACCGAATGCATTAGGTAACTTGTAATTTGAATTAAACTCTTTAAATAATTTTTAGGTATATATATATATATTTTTATAAAAACTGAAATATTGAAATACTGAAACTTTTCTTAGTCAAAAGGCCGAGAAAGGTTAGCCAAAAGGCGGAGAAAGTATTATTACACTTGATTTTAACCAAAAGGCTAAGAAAGGTTAGTCAAAAGGTCGACTCAAAAAAATTTGTACTACACTTGATTTTAGCTAAAAGGTCAAGAAATGTTAGTCAAAAGGTCGAGAAATATGTGATTATTATTTCTTTAAGTTTATAGTTTTATAAAAGGCTTACATGTAATTCTTTTAACTTAAAACCAATGTGGGACAAGAAAAATGAATTTTATTAGGTAATTTGTAATTTGAATTAAACTCTTTAAATTAATTTTTATGAATTTTATTAGGTAATTTGTAATTTGAATTAAACTCTCTAAATAATTTTTAGGTAATTTTTTATCTTATTTTTTTATATTACTAAATAAACACTGAAAGATTGAAATAGTGAAAAATTGAAATTCTTTATACATTTAATAATGGTATATATATATATATATATACACACACACACAAAAGTAAGAATGCAAATGACGCACATAGATCCGATGGCGGATTCGTATGGGCTGTTCAATGTCATGCGATCACGCGTGCATAGGGGCCACATAGGCTACTTTAAAGAACCCAAGTACGGCCTTTCCATAAAATTGAAAGACTGGTAAGAAATCTCAAGCACTTGGCAGCCAAAAGAAGAAATCTAGATAGTATAATCTTTGTGAGATTGATTAATCATCACATTAGATGGACCCCACTGAGATCTGATGATGCAAGCCTAGCCTAGTTTGCTTTTAATTAATTAAAAATCCAAAGCATAGATTGAATGGTTTGAACCTATAATATAATCATCTTAACTAAGAAAAATAACAGTTTTAAGTGAGACTACCCCACATAATATTCATGCACTTGGAGGATGCACATAAAAATTTAAAAATTGTGATTCTCACACGAGCCTTCTTTATATGGGTGACTAGATTTCCCGTTAAATAAACCCCACCAACTGGCCAAGAAAACAGTACTATGATGAGATCATTCTCCTGAGAAAAAGATAAATTAATCATTCAATCGGAATTTTGAGCCTTTCTTAAATTCTATCTATTACAATTACTCTTCTGTTGAAGAGACTTCTTTCGCCTTCCATCTAAGCTACGTAAGAAAGGTCTAAAGCCAATTTTAGGGAATGGTAAAGTTTCGTAAAGTTCTTCTGACTAAGTGAGGGTAGTCTTTTCACAGACATGTCTATTTCAGTCCCGATAGTTATGCTTTTCGTGCATGTCACAACTTACCTGATAAAGAATTTCGCTACCTTAGACAGGTTATATTAATGGTCGTTGTTCACTCGGGCATTGGTTGTCTGACTCCCTAGTCATCATGCCTGGGCACAAATGATTTATCAATGACACTGTTTTGATACTTTGTGAAAGCTACTTACAGATTTAGAAGGCAATTAATAAGTGAGAGATTTAATCTTATAGAATCGGTAGTTTTTGGATACCAAATCAATATGACACATTTTTTTTAATCCCAAATTTAAAGAATCGGTTCGATACCACTAAATACAATATTAATATATTAACAAACCACAATTCCCTTCAATAACTATTTAACGTTGTTGCAAACTGTTAATGAATACAAATAAGTATCACAATTACAATTTCACAAATTACAAAATATGCATATAAATTCATCATAAAGGAGAAAATTTTGATTAGTGGACAGAGCCAATGAAGGCCTAGGGGGGCACGTGCCCCACTGAGTTGGCTAGCAACCTATAATATATGTGATAATTTTTTTAAAAAATTCCATATATATGAAAAAATTTATATAGTGCCCCCCTCAAATTTGTAATTCTTAAAATTATATTCTTATTTTTTCTTTTACTCTTCACATTCTTAAATTTCCACAGTAGAAAAAAGTCAAAATTTTCTTCCTCAAACCCTTTAACTATTTCTTATTAAAATTCTTTCATTTTTCTTTCCTTTTATATTTTAATAATTTTCTCTTTTTTTGTCCTTTTGAATTTTATAGTTGTTATATATTTTAAATTTTATAGTTGCTATATATATATATGTACTACGTATTATTATTATTTTTTTTGACAGTGTGTCCCTCTTATTTGAAATCCTAACTCTGTCTTAGTGTTATGGAATAAGTATTCGTCATGCACCGAGCACACCACAACCATCCATGACGTCACACATATACATCAGCAACGATTGTGATGTACTGAATACATGTGTACCGAACACTGTACTTGGTCCCGATAATAAATTTAAAAAATAAATAAATAAAAATAAGAGAGAAGAATGTTTCTTGGCGATTGTGATTAAACCATCACCATCATAAGTGGTGCAATCATATTAAAGATATGTTGGTGGGTCCACAAGAGCATTAAATTAGAATAATCAAAAGGAAAAGTAATTTACTTTCGGACGAAATGCCATCAAGCTTTTTCACGTTGCTTACGAAAGGCAAGCGCAGACCACCTAAATATTATCCATTTGAATGATTTGGCAACTATATCTTCCTTTAATTAATATTTTTGCAATGACTTCACGTGTGTGACATTTTTTAAATCTCAACTAGATCTTCCTTTAATTAATAAATCGTTGCTGAGGTGGTAAAGGTTTGATCATGTGCTATAATTTCTTAACCAAAATGATGGGACTATGGTTTTTATGAAACACTCATGCACGATGACGCGCAAAACCATTATTTCATGTAATTTAGTCAATAATGTCATCATTTTTTTTTTACCAATAAGTACAATAATAGTCACCACACGATTTCCAAGGTCTTATATTTTCAAACTCTAATCACATCATAAGTCACCACATTCATCAATTGACGGAAATATATATATATATCTTCCTGGCTTGCATGATCAATACTGACAAATTCCTATCCTATTTATACATAACCAGCACAAAAAATAACAAATAAAAAATTTCATGAAATGATTAAATAGAAGTTAGATTGATACTTTTCTAACGAAAAGGGCGTTACACGATATTAGATTGAAATTCTATTTGTGTATAATTTATGACCTTATTGTTATTCTAGGATTGTAAAATGTGACATTTCCAAAGTTTTGGGTCATGTCACAGTAACTCAGCATTAACTGAAAAAAAAATCATTATCAAATTTGGAAAATGTTTGGTGTACAGTTTTATTAGAGAGACTTTCTATATCATGTTTCACCCCAAAATAATTTTATTATTGTGTCAAGACTAACACACAAGTTCAAAGTTCAAAAAGTTTAAGAAATGAGTCATGAACGAATCTATGTACAAGTCAGTGGGGGCAATTGCCACCACTAGATTTTTTTATTTTTAGTAATATACCCTATCATTTTATTTATTTTGATATATATACTTAAAAAATTACACAACCACCCTCATTAAAATTATTAAAAAATTACACTATCGCCTCCTCTCATGCAATTTCCTGTCTCCGTCCCTGGGATGAGCAGCAGCAACTTGACTTGAAAAGTTAGGTTGGGTGAGATGAACTATGTCGGTTGAATTTCATAACTTAGAGTCCACACTAGCTAGGGGTGCAATTCACACATGTTGAAAGGTTAACCCTATCCCAACCCAAGTAATGAGTAATGCTTGCCCAAACTTAAGGTGAACCCGATCTTGGGTTAAGGAGAGCTAGCCTGAACAAACATGGTTGGATTGCTCAGGGTACTCGAATTAGTATCTAATTCAGTCAAATTAGATTAATTTTTCACAACAATTGAATTTTTGCATATAAAGAAATTTACATTATTGAACACACAGTTCCTTTGACTCAAGCTTAGTTTTGGGTAAGATTAGTCCTAATCATCAAAAATAAAATTCTAATTATTATTTATTATTATTATTTTTTTTATTTTTTTGTAAATTTCTAAAAGAATTACAAACAAAATAAGGTTAGACTCGAATTCTGACCGGGTTAGCCTGCTTAGGTTTGTACCTTTACACAAAGTATTACTCACTCACGCAAGTAAGTTTATTTTTATTTTTAATATATATATATATATATATATATTTATATATGCACAGTACGGACTCCTACTTGGTTCATCCTCAACCTTTTGTTTAGGAAATGAAAGGAATTCAACTGAATTACGACTCTATGAAGGGTCCTAACAAAAGCTAAAAAGCAGGTTGAATTTCCTAAAACACATTTCCTAACTACTTGAAACCTCAGATACATTTCCTAAATTCACTCCTACATCCGAGCAAAAAAACAATCTCACACTTTCCTACCCTAATAAGAAGATCATTTGAAACCCACCATTTTTCTCGCAAAACAAACAGACCCCATAAAACTAGAAACTTATAAAAATGTCTGCAAAAATCAAAATTTCAAAACTCTGTACCAAACTCAATACCAAGAATATAGGTAAAGCACTCCATGTGGCACTCGCTGACGTCACCTTGTCATAGGTCACCTGTCAAAAAGAGTCCTTCTTAGTAACAACTATGATATTATTGGTTTGTCTGTTCATACCGTCACTCACTTTTTCTCTCTCCCTCTAAGCTCCCGAATCCGGCTGCCTAGGGAAAGTTCATGCTGATATATAGCATATATATATATATATATATATTATATGCACACATATATATGGGGAAATCAGATATATAGGGAGAACAATTTGCGTCCATCTCAATCAGATTGAGGTGGGTTTTGGATGAAATCTGATTGAATATATCTATATGATCATCATCATCGACGATATGGTCATGTGTTGGAGTGAGAAAGATGGAGAGTGTGTTGGCGGGCTCTCTGCTTCTGAAGAGTATCAGAACACTCTGTTCGATTCTGTCAGCTCAGAGAGCAATGCTGTTTCTGGGTTTCAGAGCTCTAAACATGTGTCCTTAAGAATCAGACTCACAACAGACCTCAATGATCAGGTTTCTATACATACATAAATTATATATACATATATATATATACACACACATAAATTTGTTTAAGTAACCTCTGTTTTAATGATTTTAATTTTATGTTTCATTTATGCATGTACTTAACACTGGGTTGTGTTTTGATTACTCAATTCCATTTCTTTCTTTGGGTTGAGTGTTAATTATTTGTTTTAATTTTACGGTTCATTTATTTGTTTATGCATGTACTTAATAATGGGGTTCAGTTTTAATTACTCAATTCCATATTTTTTTTGGTGGGTTTTAATTTTTTTCTATTTTTTTGTTGAGTGTTAATTATTTGTTTTAATTTTACGGTTCATTTATTTGTTTTTGCATGCACTTAACAATGGGATTCAGTTTTAATTACTCAATTCCATATCTTTTTTGTTGGGTTTTAATTTTTTCTATTTTTTGTTGAGTTTTAATTAATTTTCTACTTTTTGTAGGAAATAGAGGTGACTTCTTCTGAAGAAAACAGTCCACTTGGTTTGACATTAAAAAAAACTCCTTCTTTTCTGAACTTAATCGAAATGAAGTTGGCTAAATCAACGAACACAATCATAAATCATGAGTTGGATCAGAACAGTGCTCAGGCGAGAATGAATGCTTTTATATCTCAGCCGATGTCGGAGAAGTTAAAGGCTTCAAACTTCGCAGCTATGCTGCTCAAAATTGGTACTTGGGAGGTAATACTTCTCATGAGTTGCTTCATTCAATCAATAAGAAAATGAAATGTAATTACAAATAAGGATTTTTTTTTTTTTTTTTTTTTTTAATATTTTTCAGGATTAGAGTTTTTTTTTTTTTTTTTTTCGAAATGAAATGGTATATTTTTACTAAAATGGATGGTTTTTGAAAATGTGTTCAACAGAGGATTTCTAGGCATGAAGGGGATTTGGTAAGCATAATGTTACAAATACGGATGGTTTTTGAGAATATTTTTCAGAGGATTAGATTTTTTTTTATTTTTTATTTTTGAAATGAAATATGTTAAATTAATCAATGAGAAAATGAAATATGTTTGGTTGGTTTTTGAAAATGTGTTCAACAGAGGATTTCTAAGCATGAAGGGGATTTGGTAGCCAAATGTTACTATGCGAAACGGAAGCTGGTGTGGGAAGTGTTGGAAGGGGCATTGAAGAGTAAGATTGAAATTCAGTGGTCAGACATTTCTGCAATTAGAGCCACTATTGAATTCGACCAACCGGGAATTCTGGAAATTGAGGTCATTATTTTCCCATTTTTTTTTTTTTTACTAATGGATTCAGTATTAAGTATGAATGAATTTTTATTTGACCAATTTTTGTTGATTTTTTTTGCAGTTAAACCAACCACCTTTGTTCTTTCAAGAGACTAATCCGCAGCCGCGAAAGCATACACTTTGGCAGCAGGCATCAGACTTTACCGGAGGCCAAGCTCCCATCTTCAGGTATTGAGGATATTTTCCTCATTGCGAAATGCGAATGATTTGTTTTGGTAGTATTGTTTTCGACCAAATATTTATTTTTTGCCCAAAAAAAAAATTCAAAATGTTTTGTTAAAACAAGTAGTCTTATTGGCATCATGCAGTTTACTGTCATTATTTATTAGATAAGAGAGGACTGAGTGTATTTATTATTATTGGCTTTCCAAAATGCTGCCAGAAACACTGCTAGTGCCAAAAGCGCAGCTGAAAGGACCTTTCACCCGCGTTTTTGGCTATCATTGAATCAGGTTCTAACCCTTCAATGAGTCGAGTCCAAACTGTTCATGAATAACTAAGTTCGTTCCTAATACTGCTGCTGTTGCTACTACTAATGCATCTTCTTTGTGTGATCTTTTCTTTTGCCCTTTTCAGGAGGCACTATGTGAAATTTCCACCAAATTCACTCGACAAACACTACGAGAAGCTTCTGCAATGCGATCCACGTCTGCTCGCATTGAGCCAGAAGCCTTTCCCGACTTCCGAATCTCCATATTTCTACTCCAATATGTTTGGAATCGGCGGTTTCTCCTTCAATATCAATGGATGCGGTCCAGAATTTCCTCCCGGCCTACACTATCCCTTTCCAACAATTCCTTCGCCTTCTTTACTTCCTTCGCATCATGTGCACAATTTCAAACCCACCCTACACCCTCTCGCAGTTAACAGACAGCCTCTTGCTGTTATGGATTCGAATTCATCATTGTCAGGTTGGTTATTTAGTATCACAAGTCTTTCAGTTTCAAGCTTTAGTTTTAAAAACTTCTTGTTCACATATATATATATATGTTTTTTTTTTTCCTTATCTCTATATTTTGTGTGAAAATTAGTTATGGAAGTGGATTTTTCCTGGCCAACAGATGACAATGTTCACAGACACGCCTATGGAAATCAAAGTACAGTGTTTCGGGGTCAAGGAGGAAACAACACTGTGAATGTTTTATCTAGGGGAGATCAAATTCAAGGGCTGTCTTCTGTTTCTTCAGCAGCACAAGCCAATCAAGCCTTTTCGACTCAAGCTTATAATGTATGGGAAGAAGCAGAGAGGGCAAATCCAAACACTGAAGTACTCACCAACATCGAAAACCATTTGCTTGGCGATTCACAAGTTGTATGCTCCGATGAGAGGACACTCCTCGCGAGAGTGAGATCGATGAATTCATTGATGGAGCCATTTGAGGAAGAAAACTTTGGGAATGACATGGCCGCATATCAGATGCAGCAGCAGTACAAACAAGGACTTATTATTGATCATTCAATGTTTACTAGTGAGCATCATCAAAAAGTGGATGGTGGACTATTCTTACCGCAGCCAATCCGTTGCTTGCCTGCACAAGATTGCAACGAGAACCCGATGATGCATATGCCATGTTATGATTCATCGCTTCCATACGTTTACCCAGATCAAATGGCAGAAGACTTTGTTCCTGTTGATGCTGCCAATGAGGTGCGGCGGTGGACATGATAATGCATTGAAGATGGCAAAAGAGTGTGTGTGTGTGGGGGTGGGGGGACTGCCTAGGGTTGTGGATGAGTAGGTTTTGTCTTTGTAAAAAGAGAAGGGAAATAGTCTTCTACTTGTTTTTAGAGTTACTAGGAACGTTCACTCCTTTGTAACACCAAAACAACCAAAGTTTGTGACCTTTTCCCTTCTCCAAGTGTAAGAGGCTCTTTTACTAGTCTCCTTACATCAAGAATGCCTAAAATTTTTACCTCAGTTGCAGTTAAGTGTTGTCGTAAGAGTAAACGGTGAAATCATAATAACCATCACATAATTATTAATATCATTAACTAACCAAACTAAATCACACAGAGCGAGTGCAAGAGCACGAGCACAAAATATTGAAAAATATAAGTTGCACGGGGTGGGGGCAGGAGTGAGAGTGTGCCACAAAAATAAAAAATGTAAGTTACACTGGGGACGGGATTACAAAGTAAAAAATATATGTTACACGGAGTGAGGGCGGAAGGGAAATGAGTACCTGGCTGGTGATTATGGATTTTGCAGCTTCTTCTTGCATTTAGATATAATATGTTCATGTAGTATGCCCCTGATGCTTTTTCATATCCATAACAATGATTACATGTATATGTTGATTTTCTACTTTTGTACTCTTGTCAATGCCACTATTGCTATTAAATCTTAAATCAAGGTTGAATCTTAAATTAGTATCTAATATATGTTGAAGTTAATCTCACAACCATTACAACGATACAACTAGATCCGGCAAAATTTTCAAGGGTTACTGCAAGTAGATAACCCCCATCCGCGGACGTCGCACATTCTGCATCTTCTGCAATGGTGAGATCGCGGTTCGATAAAGATTAAACTCTGAAAGGAAACACTCACATTGGATTGATCACTTGAAAATTTGCATTTCCCTGATTACACCATAATATATAGATAGATATTACACCAGCAAAAGCAACATTTTGACTCATTTTCTGATAGTTTACCCGCCTCAAATCAATTCTTCAACATTCCTGCAATTTCTAGTTATTTGAGATCTTGTGTTTCTGACAGAGTATATATACAACGAAGCCTAGTAAGAGAATTTCAAAAAGGAAATATGCAGCAAACCAAGTCAGATCAGAAATTGGAAAGGTTCAACCAATTTGAGTGCACAATGAAACCAGCATATATATCATATATTATCTCAACCAGTGAAGTGACATGGAAATTTAACTAGACAAAAAATGAGCCGCTCCTAACACTAATATCTTAGATGAACTGCATTAAAATTATCATGAAGTTCAGCTGCAAGGTTCATTTCTGTTCTATGCTGGTCAAAATAATTTTATACTCCTAAATATATATATAAAAGGAAAATAGGGGAAAAGAACTACTGACAATTAAAAATACTGTGATAATCAAGCTTGAAAAAGAGATTTACAATGCACTTGGCTAAGGCATTATAGAGTCATCCAGAACAGCTGGAGGATGGCCAGATCTGTTTGTAACTTCATCCGCTCCCTCTTCCGTACTCATCTCATCGTATTTTCGTTTCTTTGACGCAGAGTCTGAATTCTCCTCATTTCCACTTTCCTTTTCTTTTCCTTTGCCTCCGTCACTCTCTTTCTCTTCCCCATTCGCTTTCTCTGATGGGGTTACATCATTTGAAGGCAATAATGGAGGTTCACGGCCACTTAATCGACAAAATACACTCTCAACAGTTTCACTTATTTCCTTCCCCAGGCCTTGATTGTCCAAGATCAACTCCCAAACTGATTTAGAGGCTTTTTCAAGCACTGAAGTTCTGCTTGACAACAACAAAATGTGGAGAATTAAAACAAAAGGGAAGTGCTTGTCCTAGAAAGATTGGTTCTTCATGCATGCGTGAATGACTACTCGTCATCTTCAAAATCTTGAGAATGTATAAATGCAACAGAAGATTGGCCATTATAAAGCTCCAAATCAAAAGAAAGCTTCAAATATGATTACAGAAAAGAAATGTGAACTGAATCCCTTTATAAGGGTTTTAGAAAGAGGGTAACTATATCACAGCTACTTGTATTACAGTCTTTTTTCCAATGAAGTATAATAACCACCCTTTAAAGGATATAAAATAAAAATTTATATGGTACTCAGAGCCATGGTGCTGCAAGCCAATGTTGAATTAGGCCAAAAAAGGTGTTTATTATATATATCCAGTTAATATATATATATGGCGATGTTGAATTGGGCCAAAATGTGTTAGTATAATATCCAGTTATAAAATATAGCGCAGAAAATTTCACGAGTTAAACCATCCAGGGGGGGTTAAAACCGACCCAAAAGATACGACGACAAGTTGAAGAAATAAAATCAGCCAGATAACAAAAAGATTCATTTCTATTTGGGATTATATGTAGTCAATATCGTTCACGCAACAGCAACACTTACTCAAGCTCTTGCCGAAGTGCATCAAACAGTTCTCTTTTGGTCTGTTTCTCTGCCCCAGGAGTGTTAAGAACCTTACTCTGTTCCACCATTTTAATAGTGGTACTCTTTAGCTCCTCCTATAATAGACAAAATACAATATTAGAACTGTTTTACTGAGAAGTGGGATTTAGTATTCAATCTTCAGAAATTAAAATATTTTACAACCCTCAACCAAAATGCATCTATACAATCTATTTCCTTTCCCTCTTGCGGGGCATTTTGAATTATTCGACTGGTGCAACATGAAAGCCTTGTGATTATGTGGTAAGTTCAAGAATGAATTTGAAGGGGCCGTAGGTGGCAAAAGATTCTCAAAGTTGATACCTTACAAACATGTCCTATATAGTAGGTTAGCAGACCAACTAATTGTCACCATTGAATCAGCAATTAGTCCATATTAGGGTGCATTTGGAAATGTAACAACTTATTTTTCATATTTTACAGAAATATATAGAGAGAGAAAAAAATCTTAATGCAGAGAGTTCACAGATAGAAAAGTAGAACTAGAGAGAGCAACACGATAAAATAGAAAATCTTCGCTGAAAAAATTGAGAATGGGAGCCGTCCGCTGGTGACTCTTGCCTTTGCAAACAAATCCATCTCTCCAAGTTCCAACATAAAAACAAGGCAAGTAAACATGCTAATTTAATTTTTATTTTTTTTTAAATAACACAAAGATAGTATTGTAAAATTAAGTAAAAAACTGAAGATAATGTAAGTAACAATTGCAAGAATGTGTTCTCAAAATGCCATCTAAACACAGCCTTAAGAGTCAAAGAGTCCGCCTACAACTATATAGACAGAAATTTCTTAAGAAAACCATTTTAGACATAAATTCAATAATCGGTCAGTATGAAAAGACTAAGAAGCTAAACATTGCAAAGTCAGCCATTTTAGTAAACTCTGCAGATAATGTTCAATACATGAATGCATAATATAAACTCTGAAACAATTTTAAAAATTATGCTGAAAATTTTTAGTCCTCCAAAGTAGCTCAATAACTTGGCCTTTTGGGCACGGTCCTAGAAAGTAAAAAAGAACAATACTTGCCTCCTCACGCGTGAAGAACCTTCTCCTTACAGCTGATGTGTAATGATATCATAGGACCACGTGTCCTTTTATAACATTAAAAAGTAAATAAAAGAGGAAAGAAAAATAACCTATTTTAAGTAGGTCCTACTGATATTAAATCTACTAATGTGGTCAAATCATAACAAGGCACGTCAGTATACGAGAAGATCACGCATCAGGAGGCAAGTATTTTTCACTGAAAATTAATGCTAGTTCATAGTTATCAGAAACTGTCATGGCACAAATGGAAACAGACTAAGGTTATCTTAAAAGATGATTTCTTTCTACTTTTTAATTTTTGCTGCCATGTTAGCAGGTAATTGTTTATCACCTCCAACAAGGGATACAGCATCATAGGCTTCCAAAAGAAATATTTGATTGTCTAAAGATCAGAATTCCAAAATCCAAACCCTCCAATTCTTTTTTTTCTTTCTTCTTTTTTTCAGTAAGAATCAGAGCAGGATATATTTTGCGATATAGAGTTCAGATGTAGCCCACATAATCATAATGGTGATTATAAGGCAACGATGAACACCTTCAAGAGATATCCAACAGGGAGATGAAAACCCATCCTTGCTGCTTTCCATCTCTTTTTTTTCTTTACCAGACATTCAACGGTCTCCACAATCATGCCTGTGGCAGACACCTGCCTATGTCTGGATGAAACACTCATTCTTGAGAATTCAAAAAGCATATAAAATCTCATTTTTATCCTCCTCACGCATCATGAGGCAAGTATTTTTCACTTTTTGACTGACAAATAACGATATTTCATATTATCAGAAGCTGTAATGGCACAAATGGACAATGATTAACTAACCGAGACTAAGGCTATTTTAAAGATGATTTTTTTTCTTCTTTTTATTTTTTGCTGCCATGTTAGCAGGTAATTGTTTATCACCTCCAACAAGGATTACAGTATCATAGGCTTCTTAAAAGCAGAATATTTGATTGTCTAAAGATAAGAATTCCAAAATCCAAACACTTGTATTCTTTCTCTCACTTTTTCAGTAAGAATCAGAACGGGACATATTTTGAGATATGGGGTTCAGATGTGGCCCGCATAATCATTTAATGGTGATTATAAGGCAACGATGAACACCTTCAAGAGATATCCAACAGACAGATGAAAAACCATCCTTGCTGCTTTCCATCTCTTTCTTTTCTTTACCAGACATTCAACGGTCTCCACAATCAATGCCTGTGGCCGACACCTGCCTATGTCTGGTTGAAACACTCATTCTTGAGAATTCAAAAAGGATATAAAATCTCATTTTTATCCTACTCATGCATCAGGAGGCAAGTATTTTTCACTGAAAAATAATGATATTTCATAGTGATCAGAAGCTGTGATGGCACAAATGGAAACTGATTAACTAACAGAGACTAAGGCTATCATAAAGATGATTTTCTTCTTCTTCTTTTTAGTTTTTGCAGCCATGTTAGCAGGTAATTGTTTATCACCTCCAACAAGGATTACAGCATTATTGATTTCTTACAAGCAGAAGATTTGATTGTCTAAAGATAAGAATTCCAAAATTCAAACTCTTGTATTCTTTCTCTCTCTTTTTCGGTAAGGATCAGAACAGGACATATTTTGAGATATGGTGTTCAGATGTAGCCCGCATAATCATTTAATGGTGATTATAAGGCAACGATGAACACCTTCAAGGGATATATCCAACAGAAAGATAAAAAACCATCCTTGCTGCTTTCCATCTCTTTCTTTTCTTTACCAGACATTCAACGGTCTCCACAATCAATGCCTGTGGCCGACACCTGCCTATGTCTGGATGAAACACTCAATTCTTGAGAATTCAAAAAGCATATAAAATCTCATTTTTATCTTCCTCACGCATCAGGAGGAAGTATTTTTCACTGAAAAATAATGATATTTCACAGTTATCAGAAGCTATAATTGCACAAATGGAAACTGATTAACTAACAGAGACTAAGGCTATCTTAAAGATGATTTTCTTCTTCTTCTTTTTAGTTTTTGCAGCCATGTTAGCAGGTAATTGTTTATCACCTCCAACAAGGATTACAGCATTATAGGTTTCTTACAAGCAGAAGATATGATTGTCTAAAGATAAGAATTCCAAAATTCAAACTCTTGTATTCTTTCTCTCTTTTTCGGTAAGGATCAGAACAGGACATATTTTGAGATATGGGGTTCAGATGTAGCCCGCATAATCATTTAATGGTGATTATAAGGCAACGATGAACACCTTCAAGAGATATCCAACAGAAAAATGAAAAACCATCCTTGCTGCTTTCCATCTCTTTCATTACTTTACCAGACATTCAACGGTCTCCACAACCAAAGCCTGTAGCCGACACCTGCCTATGTCTGGATGAAACACTCCTTGAGAATTCAAAAAACTTATAAAATCTCATTTTTATCCTCCTCACGCATCAGGAGGCAAGTATTTTTCACTGAAAAATAATGATATTTCATAGTTATCAGAAACTGTAATGGCACAAATGGAAACTGATTAACTAACAGAGACTAAGGCTATCTTAAAGATGATCTTCTTCTTCTTCTTCTTCTTCTTCTTCTTAGTTTTTGCAGCCATGTTAGCAGGTAATTGTTTATCACCTCCAACAAGGATTTCAGCATCATATGCTTCTTAAAAGCAGAAGATTTGTTTGTCTAAAGATAAGAATTCCAAATTCCAAACTCTCGTATTCTTTCTCTCATTTTTTGGGTAAGGATCAGAACAGGAAATATTTTGAGATATGGTGTACATATGTATCCCGCATAATCATTTAATGGTGACTATAAGGCAACAATGAACACCTTCAAGAGATATCCAACAGAACGATGAAAGACCATCCTTGCTGCTTTCCATCTCTTTCTTTTCTTTACCAGACATTCAACGGTCTCCACAATCATGCCTGTGGCAGACACCTGCCTATGTCTGGATGAAACACTCACTTTCTTGAGAATTCAAAAAGCATATAAAATGTCATTTTTATCCTCCTCACACATCAGGAGGCAAGTATTTTTCACATTTTCACTGACAAATAATGATATTTCATAGTTATCAGAAGCTGAAATGGCACATATGGACACTGATTAACTAACCGAAACTAAGGCTATCTTAAAGTTTTTTTTTTTTTCTTCTTCTTCTTCTTTTTAATTTTTGCTGCCATGTTAGCAGAATATTTGATTGTCTAAATATAAGAATTCCAAAATCCAAATACTCGTATTCTTTCTCACTTTTTCAGTAAGAATCAGAACAAGATATATTTTGAGATATGGTGTTCAGATGTAGCCCGCATAATCATTTAATGGTGATTATAAGGCAACGGTGAACACCTTCAAGAGATATCCAACAGAAAGATGAAAAACCATCCTTGCTGCTTCCATCTCTTTATTTTCTTTACCAGACATTCAACGGTCTCCACAATCATGCCTGTGGCAGACACCTGCCTATGTCTGGATGAAACACTCATTTTCTTGAGAATTCAAAAAAACTTATAAAATCTAATTTTAATCTCAACTAGACTGCAAGTAAACCGGAATAGCTGAGGCTCGTCTTGTTCTGTCTGGGAACACATTGGTGAACAGACTCGTGAATTAGCTCACTTTAAGCTTGTAAAATTGCATATGTATAAACTTAGTCCACATAAATAAGACCCATTAGACAATCAAATCTCATCTGTCACTACAATTTACAAGTAAAACCTAATCCAAGCCAAAACTATACCCTTTTATTTTTTTTCCCAAATTGATACTCACACACCAAAAACCCATATCTATTTCCTTCTCAACTACTTTCGTCCCTCTCACTTATAAAACCAACTACTTTCGTCCCTCTCACTTATAAAACCAACTACTCCATGCCCATCCATCCTATAAAAACCTATATATATTTCCTTCTCTTCCTTCTAAACATCAAAACACAACAGTACAACACCATAGACCAAGACATCACACGACCACAGCTGTCGCAAGCACCAACCAGCAACCAACAACCCACTCATTGGTGATTGCAATGCTGACAGCACTTCACCTGCAACTGCAACAACTTGATCACCCAAGCAGGTTAGCAATATCTTTCTAATCTCATCTTTTTGTCATTTGGTCTCACCCACTTGTTGCCCTTTGGATGAGATTGAAGGTAAAAGATCAAAATGGAGGTCTGTTGTGATTTCTCCCACCAATAAGATTGATTAGGTAGATATATAGGGTTTCCAGAAGGCCCCCTTCTCTTGCTTTCCCTTTAAGTGACAGGGGAGGTGAACCGCTCCAAGCTGAATGCGATAGCAGACACACATATACACATATTCCACAGGATTGCCTATTGATACATCTAGACAAGCTTGACCCGACCTGAGCCTGACCTCATCAGTATAATACTGATAGAGCTCTATCTTCGATAGCCTAAGCTCGACCAAATACGACCTAGCCCAAACACTTCTCTACATTTGTTCAATACATTGACAATAGGAAAATTGGCTCACCTAATCCATTCTTAGGAACAAAGGAGTAGCTGGACCACACAATGAAACAAAGTTTAAATTGCATTTGCAACCGCAAGGACATGGATACAGATCTAACAGAATTTAAGTAATCGAAGTGGAAACCGAGGCCATAATTTTCCTTTGATTGCACAGCATACTCAAACAGTAACTTACCGGGAAAAAAAAAATAATAACAATAATAATAATAATAAATACTCAAAACAGTGGGGACATTTAACTGAACCTACAAAGATGATTTAATATAACCAAATATTTCTATATTGACGTTTGAGTCATTTGTGAGTCCAAATGTTGATGCAATAAATGTATCATTTAATGCTTTCTACACTTAAAAAATTGCATTAACTAGTGTATGTCCCTTTGACACTGGGTGTTCGAAGAAGAAGATTGGTGATAAGCCTTACATATGGCATTATTTTTACCAAAAAGTGGCTGCAAAATATAAGGTTGAACTTCAGAGTCATGGAAACACTTGATACTCTAAACGAAATAAAATAAAATTTATCATAATGATTTGAAGATCTAAAAGTGAGATCTCAACAAGAAATGTAGATTTTCAACTTCAAAGTATGTTTAGCACAAAAATTAAACTCAATCAAGCAAATACATCAAAATCGGTGAGCATAAATAATGGTTGTAACTTGTATTTTTATCATTCTCAGCCCACTGGAAGTTTGGATTAAAAGTTGATGTCAATATTAATTTTGTTTTAAGTTTAATTTGACATATGTATGTTAAATGTGTTTTTAGAAATATTTCAAAGTTTTAAAATCAATAGAAAAGGAAGTAAATATAAAATTCATGTGCTGATCACAAGACGTAGCACTCTAACATTAGCCCTAGAATCCTTTACACAACGGTAGCAGGTTGTAATCGCCCTTACATGTGTGAACTGGCTTCACACCAAAATCACATCCATAAATGGACTGGGAACCTCGGATACCATTGTCTAACGGCTTAGAAATGTTTCAGCCGACTTTCAAAACCTAACCATCTAGGCACGGGTGACCAGCCAACCAGACAAATCAAGATTTGACCAACCTTCCTTAAGTGAATCCAAGTCTGCTTTTTATAATTTTGTTCTCTTCTGTTCATAACAAATAACAATCGGAGAACGCAAAACTAACTCTTCCATATGAAGTGAAGAAGCAAATAACCCAACTTTTGTGTGCGAAGGGATTGTTTGACTGAGATGTTGCACATGTTCTTCCACAATTTCAAAATGCCAAGCAATAAGACACCTTTAAGAACCCTCTGAATTCCAAAGTCCACAATATATATGGGTGTGTGTGTGTGCAAGAAACACACCCACACACCCACATTGCCCCTAAGGGAACTTGAACCCTCTAACTTCTACTTTGGAGGGATTAGGAAATACCACTAGGCTACAGCCCATAGTTAAACAGAGAGTCCATAGATTCGAATGACCCTTATTAAGAAAGTGCAAACTGGGTTATTTATTGCATACTGTCCAAATAAAAAACAAATAGCAGTACCAATGTAATCAATACAACAAAATTGGGTTATTGTCCACTATGCAAATAGTTAATCATCTTTTCTAATTGAAAAATCATAGGCATACAAAAATAAACGTTTGTCTAGATGTACACTTATTAATATATATAGAGAGAGATAAATATATAGGGAGAGAGAGTATACATTGGCTTTGAGCTGAGTGATGATCTTCAATCTGAGAGCGTCGATGGTACCGTCGTTCATCAGTGTCTCGAGAACATCTTCGGGTGATATGACTGAGGAAGAAGAAGATGATTCCATTTGCGAATCACCTGCAATCACGATTGTATGGTGAATGAAATTTTACAGGTTTGTTCTGTGAGAAGATGAGCTTTTCTTTCGAATGATTTTAGGGTTTTGAATGACGGAGATCAGAGGATCAATTATCATCTGAATCTAAGCTGTTGTTGTCCAAACAACGATGGAATTTTCGCCGCCGGTTAATCGCTGCGAAAAGAAAGGAAACTGCGAACGTACGATGAATGACTATCGCATTGCTATATACATATAGAGACGATACCTCAATCCTATACTCGTACGGCGTCGTATCATCGTCCAATCTGACAAATGTCTATTATTTAGAAATAAATTTTATTATTTCGAATATTTAGTCACACATTGCCACACAATTGGTACATCTTATATCTTTTGTCTTTAACATTAATAAACAATGGCAATTTTGAATATAATATTATGAATATAAACCAATCGTTCAACCTCTAAAAAAACAAAAACATAAATATAATGGCAATATAACTCGTGTAACTTTTAATATAATGCATAAATTAATTAAAATTTAATGATTGTCTCATTAAATACTTATATAAATAAAAATTTACATTTTTATTAAGAGTGCATTGATGCATTTTATGTATATTAATTTTTATGTATGATGGATAGAAGAGAGAAAGTCATTCACTTCTAAATAAAAATAGGTCTCTAAATAAAAATGAATTAATATTCATAGAGATATTTTTTATAATAATTTTAATTTTCTCAATTTTTTTGTCCATTTATACTCTTTTTGTTTCTTTTTCAACAAATACATACAAATCCGCAAAATATTGATTAATAATAATTTTTTATTTTTGGATAATTTTAATCATAAAAATGAGTTAATATTCATAGAAAATTACCACGCTATTTGAGAATTGATGCAAAATGAAACCAATTTGCTCCCTTTTATCATTTTTAACAATCATTGAAGCTTCAAATTACAAACTTAGATATACTTTTCATTCACAGTTTTTTCTTCTTCTTTTTTTTTCCTATAAATTATACAAAACCTAAGTACTTCAAAATTCCTTTCCAAGTATGGGAATAAAACAAGCTTAGAAAAGAAGCTCATGTCACCTTATTTTACCTCTCGGCAAGCATGAGAATAAAAGTAGGAATTTAATATTCAGATATATTTTTATAATTATTTTTTATTTAAATTTTAAAATAAAAAATATGGAGAGAATAATTTTGGAATAAATGGAAACAAAAAATTTCACGAATAAATGAAAATAAATGGGTGAATTATTATTATTTTATTTGTTCATTTTTAGGTTTAAAGTCAGAACTCAGAAGTTAGATGGGGCGTTTGCCACAATAAACCCTAGCGGCTTCAACCGAAAAAAAAAAAAAACTAGCTTCTCTTGCTTCCCCAAATCCTCAGCTCTTCTTCGGTGTCTGGTTCATCAATGGCGGGTGGTAAGATCAAGAAGGAGAAGTCCCACCGTGGAGCGTCGGCGTCGTCGAACCCACACTACCAGGGAGGCATACCGTTCCACAAATCGAAGGGACAGCACATTCTCAGGAACCCTCTGCTCATCGACACCATCGTCGAGAAATCCGGAATCAAGAGCACCGATGTCATCCTCGAGATCGGTCCCGGTACCGGAAATCTCACCGAGAAGCTCATCAACGCCGGCAAGTTCGTTATCGCCGTCGAGCTTGACCCACGCATGGTCCTCGAGTTGGAGCGTCGGTTCCAAGGGAAAGGCTTGTCCCACAAGCTTAAGGTATGGTTTGTTTTCCCGGAAATTGTTTTCCTTTTGGTTGGCAAGAAATTGTGCAGTGAATATGTATGTGTTTGTGTGTGAAAATGATCAGTTCTTGTGCTTATATGACTGCCGTATTGGAGTTTTGGGATTAAGTGCACACATGAATTGTACACTCAAAGAACAGAAGCAAAAGTAACATTCTTTGATTCACAAATCTATTCTTGCACTAACCCACATGACACAGTTCATAAAATTACTATATGAAACAGATTAGTTCTATACCATATGATTATACTCACCCTTTGCATCATCATCATCTTTGCCGTATGCTTATACCCACGCTTTGCTAGGAACAGAACTGATAGTCTCTGCACACATGATAGGCCCAATGCTGCTGCATGACAACTTTAATCTAGAAAATTCTCTGTGAGGATGGATCCGAAAAGGGAATTGAGCCGAGCCAAGAATTTTTTCCTTCTCAAGTTGGGTCCTTGGCCAACTGTTCTATCCGTTGGGTTTCCGATATGCCTATATTTGCTGGTCTCTGTTTTGTCCCACTGCATTACATACATAAATGTCAAGGATGTAATGTATGTTTGTTTGAATTTTTTTTTTTTTTTTAAAGAATATGAAATCCAATATAAAATGGCCTGTCCTTTGCAATGCTGATTTATGTAGGTTATTCAAGGAGATGTGCTCAAATGTGATCTTCCATACTTTGATATATGTGTGGCGAACATTCCGTATCAAATTTCTTCTCCTCTCACTTTTAAGTTATTATCACACCGACCACTGTTTAGGTGTGCAGTGATTATGTTCCAGAGAGAATTTGCCATGCGACTTGTTGCTAAGCCCGGTGACACTCTCTACTGCCGCCTTTCTGTTAACACCCAGCTCTTGTCTCGCATTTCCCATTTACTAAAAGTTGGCAGGAACAATTTCAGGCCTCCACCAAAGGTTGATTCTTCTGTTGTTAGAATTGAGCCAAGAAAACCACTTCCCCCTGTGAATTTTAAAGAATGGGATGGTTTGGTCCGAATTTGCTTCAATAGGAAGAACAAAACCCTGGGTTCGACTTTCAGACAGAAGAGTGTCCTCTCGTTATTGGAGAAGAACTACAAAACCTTGCAAGCATTGCAGCTTGCACAGAAAGAATCAATGGAGTCTGCAGAGGCAGTGGCCGTGGCAGATGTATCTGCTTTGGGAGATACTCGTGAGGACGCAAGTATGGAGATTGATGATGGAAGAGATGACGAGGAGATGGATGTGGAGAATGGTGATGCAAAAGGGTCTGAGTTTAAAGATAAAGTTTTAGATGTGTTGAAGCAAGGAGATTTTGAAGAGAAGAGATCTTCCAAGCTCACACAAACTGATTTCATGTACCTGCTCTCTCTCTTTAATATGGCTGGGATACATTTTTCTTGATTCAGGGACCAAGAGTTATGGCTTTGTTTTTTTGTTTTTTGTTTTTTAAATCCAGTTTTGTTTTCATCATTGGAGAGTTACTGTATTAGTTAAAGATCAAGACTTAGTGGAGATAACCAATGAATTTGGAGGATTACTTTGTCATGATGGAGGGAAGTTATTTTCTATTCAGCTTGTAATTTATATGTTGGGATGGAACAATAATAGCGTTTGCTCCTTTATATTTTACTATAATATCATACTTTTCTGTTGTTCAGAATTCTTTTACTGTCACATAACGTGCGGATTTCGCTTCTTAAAATTTCATGATTCCCTCTTTTGAATAAAAAATCAAGTTTGTTGATGATCAGAGATGCTCAAACACCAAGAATATCATTTTAGTTTTACCGGTGGACGGGGCAAGGTTGTTTTAAAGAAAGAAGAAGAAAAAGTTTCAAAACTGTGTTTCTTTTGAAAAGATAATGGGTTTCTTTTGGGTTTTTGATGAATAAGTCTCTTCAGTTGGAGAAATTATTTATTACAACCGTTGCAAATGATATGATGCAATGCAACCCTCATCGTTGCAATGAATAACCCAATCCTTCAGTTGTCCCAACAGATGCAAGTGCCATGCCCTCTATCTCTGGTCACTATAAAGGAAACAAATATCACTGGGTAATCTTTTTCATTAAGATGAGTAGAAAGCTTGGCCTAGTCCACCAAAAATAACCTGGAGCAAACATATACTGTTGTATACTTTAATGGCATTGGTAAAACTGCAATTTTTACCTAAATTGGCTCATATGATAATATTTGTACATTTTCTGTACCACCAAAATTTGGACTTGCAACTATAGGATTAATACACAGAGGACACTTGATTTAGCCAAACAAACTACATTACAAAATAGTACCGACAATAATAAGATTTCAAAGAACAATTATTGTTTATCTCAATCAGTGAGAAAAAAAATGCAGAATAACTACTTCCCGCCTTTCACTAGTATATCAAATGCTATGTTCTCTACAATCCGAAAACAATCCCATCCTTTCATCATAGTAATGTAGAACCTATGCTGATATGACTTGTAACTGCTACTGCTTTTCCCACCAGTCAAAAATTCTGGAAAACTAGAATGGGATCATGAGCTTTTTACTGAGATCACAAGTTACATTCGAACCATGCAGCATGTAATCAACTTCCTGTAGATGTGCAGAGTACTGCTAAAATCTGAACTTTTTACATGTGATCATCTTTATCCAAGGAAACTGATAAAAAGTGCAAGATGAAGTCATCAAGATCACCCTCGAGAACAGAATCAGGGTCTGATACCTCGTAATTAGTCCGAAGATCCTTGACCATACGGTATGGCTGCATAAGAACATAGTGAACAACATTAAGAAGTGGTGTACAGCACACCATACCGGGAAAATAAGTAGAAGTTGTACTGTTCAAGTGTATACATGAAGCACGTAAGTGCGTATCTGGTTGCCCCAACTAATATCAGTAAGAGATTGTGTATGTTGTGCATTCATCTGAGCCTGGCGAGCCATCTCAAGCTGATCTAGCCGAGATTGAAGTACAGCCATGGCAGAAGCCTTGTTTTGATGTTGCGACCTGGATTTATGAAAATCAATAACCCTCGAGGAAAAGGTAACTTCTGGCTCCAAATTATGCTTGACAAAGCATGAGAGATTGTGTACCTTTCATTTTGACAAGAAGCAGTGATTCCAGTAGGAATATGAGTTATCCTCACAGCACTGTCAGTTGTGTTGACACTCTGACCACCAGCTCCTCCAGAACGGTATCGATCGATGCGAAGATCAGATTCATTGATTTGAACATGGGAAAAAGCATCACCCAGGATTGGGATTACAGCCACAGCAGCAAATGAAGTATGCCGTCGTTTATTGCTATCAAATGGTGAGATACGCACCAATCTGTGCACTCCTACTTCTGCTTTGGCATATCCAAATGCATATTCACCATCGACTTTGATTGTTGCCCGCTAAAGGAAAGATTGATCAGAGGTCAAAAAACTAATTGCATCCTCAAGAAACCCATAAAAAATAATACTACCCAAAAGAAGAGGGGGGGAAGAAAGAAAGAAGGCCAAGCTTCAGTTTCAAACAAATACGAAATTCAACACTTGCTACTTAAAAAAGATACACATTATTTCCAGACAAATCATTTTGATACTCTATAAAGCTCACAGCTTTCTTATATTGCCCATGCATGTGAAACACCATCAGTGTGCTGACTAGTGCATGTGTTTGTTTTCTCTGTTCTGGGCCTTCGCTTGTGCCTTTTACCTTTACTGAGTAAGATATTTCAGATGTGCATCCATGAATAAAATCAAAGGATACGAGAAAAATATGGCAAGATGGCAAACCTTGATTCCTGCAAGCTCACCAGGCATTTCATCAACTACAGTAACTCCATATCCACGGTTTTGAGCCCACATTTTGTACATTTGCATGACCATAGAAGCCCAGTCCATGCTTTCAGTACCTCCAGCTCCAGCTTGGACCTATACATGCACCCAAAGATTATGGTTTTGATTGGTGAACAATGATGACTGCTACGGTTCAAATAGTTTACTATATTCACATGCATAGAATAAAGAAGAAAAAACACAAATATAAATGACCAAATACATGTTCCTACACTAGACTTAGGATTCAGGAAGGACAAAAACAACTAAAGTAGGGATAAATTTTATGAACAAAATTGCAGTCATAATAGTGGACCATAGTAACCTCAATGAAACAAGAACAAGAATCATGCTCCCCAGATAACAAAGCTTCAAGCTCTTTCTCCTTTGAATCTCTTCTCATTCTTAGTAAAGCGTTAAGTAATTCCTGCAAATGAATGATGAAAAGTTAGCAAACCTTATAGATGGCATGTAAGTTGCAAGAAAGAATTCTCATTAGATATTTTGATATATTATTTCTTACTCTGGAAATATATATATATATTAGGGTTCTAAATCCCATTAAGGTGGGTGATATGTGTAAGAGAGAGATCAAACCACTATTGAGTCCAGACGAAAGAAAGAATTGCATCTTTCCTGGTAAATCTTCTAATCTTCATCTGAAAAAATAACTAATCCACTTATGCTTCCCCATCAATTGCATTCCACACAGTTTGGACATATACTCCCTCCTATCCCAAGGCACACTATGCTTCCCCATGAATCGCACTCCACAGTTTGGACATATATTCCCTCCTATCCCAAGTCACACTATTAGTTGCTTAACCTCACAAACAATTAGATGGACGAAGTTTTTTTTTTTTTTTTTGTTCTAATAAAAAACCATTTCCCCCTACACCTTTCCCTTTATAGTTGTCCACAGAAGTTCTCACTAGGCAATGAGGTCTTATACAAAAGATCATTGCCAGTTGTACAACAGCCCTTAATGCTGAGAAGCACATATGCGTAGTTGCGTACAAAGCAATAAGTATATCAGATGATTCAGAATTATTCATCTCCAAGAGGATATTTGCCACTACTTGTTCAAAAACTAATGTAGAATGGGTTCCAAGTCACCAGTGAATCTTATGTTTCATACCAATTTTTCAACAAAAACAAACCCGAATAAACTTTTGATGATTTTTGCACCCATGCATTCTAATCAAACCCAAAAAAGCAAAAGAAAACTTATATGGTGACATAATTACAAAGAACTTGTAATTCATCTTCACTGTCTGATATAAGCTTCAACTTACTGCTTGCATGACCTGATGAATTATATTTCAAAGCATTATGTGGATGTACTTGGTTCAGACTCATATAATTTCAGTTTGAATTAATGCCATATTCACTCACTCCAAATACCTCACACTCAATATCATATTCTAATCTAAGATTAAAGAGTTGCAGCTGCGCCCCTTGTACCATAAGAGAGTGCTACTGATAGAGTGTTTACTCGGCTAAGCTTTAAAGCTCCATGGATTTTCAAGAGTTGCTTCTAGTTCAAATAATGAAGTTCTTTAACCAATATCTAAAGTAAAAAATATAGAGAAGAACAACTCTAATTGATGGTTTTCCTTATTTCAAGGACATTTAATTTAGGATTATACATTAAATACAGGATAAACATCATTTACCTATTGGCCATAAAACATATATAACAGAATTTTAGCATATAATTAAAATATTACACTAGTACTTCACAAATCAAGACACATTATAGGAAATGAAATAGAATGAATGCATGCATACAAGAAGAACTGAAAGCCCACCGACTCCAACTGTGTGTCATTCTCTTCACGAGCAAGCTTTATCATCTCAATATGCTCAAGCAGTTCTTCCTCAAATGATTTCACCTCCTTCATTTTGCCCATAAGCGAGCCATGCTCGCGGCTTATCTTCCCCGCCTTAATGGGATCATCCCAGAGATCCGGCTTATTAAGCTGCACCGATAACATCTCCAACCTAACTAACAATTTCTTCCACTATCACCAAGAAAACAAAATCAAACTTAAAACTGAACCAACAAGAGTTTCAAACAAACACATAATCATAACTCACTTCCACTGTTTACATCAGATAACCAAATTTTCATCCTAAATTACAATTATTTGATTTAAACTGACTCGAACTCGGTTCAGGTGCCCAAATAAACTAATTATCTACTAAGCTTAAACTCAATAAACTAAAAGAAATGAAATTTATAAAATTGTACCTGTAAACGTTTTTTGATTAGGTGAATGGATTGAGCAATTGCAGAAGCATGACTCTTCCAATCACTCTCACTCTCATCATGAATTGCCCATTGACTTGAAATAATGCGTTCGACAGTGAGACCGTCAGAGGTTGAAGGTTCAATGGCGGCCTGCGAACCAAAAAACCGAACCCAACTTGTTGGAACAACAAATTCATGAGACCCAGAAGTGCTTTTCCCTGTTCGAAGCAGACAACCACAAAACCCAGAAATATTTTTCTTCAAAAAGCCATTCTTAGAACCCAGAACTAAGCATTTTGAATCCGAACTTGAAAAAAAACGAGATTGAAAAACAGCCCAAATTGGAAACGAAGGGTTATTTGGATTTGAACCGAGTAAATGGTGAGATTGTGAGTATATCGTTCTGGTTTGGGGTTCGGAAAAAGAACGAAATAGGAATGAAACAAGGGGTTTTCTGATTCTAGGGTTTTGAGAGATAAATGAATATTTATTACATGATCTTTTAAGTACTACGAATGACATGCTTTCTTCCTGAACAATTGGGGAAAATGAATGATTTTCGGCAGTGAGGATTCGAAAAACAGAATGCAAGTGCAAGCCTGGGTTTTGGAACGAGGGTGTTGGAAGGGAAAAGGAAAGGAAATGAAAAAAAAGTCTAAAATAAAATTTTGGAAGAAAATTAAAGATCAATTGTTGAAAAAAATATAAAAAAAAAACTAAATATTATTTTATCAGTCACACAATATTTCTCAACAAGTGTCGCTCTCGCTCTCATGCCCAATTCGGGCTCTCGCTCAACTTCTCATTGTTTATGACTTAATTATATTGCTCTCAAGCTCCAACTCTTGAATTCACTTTCGCTCCTGCTTTATGTGATTTAGGTAATTTTTGATTAAAAAAAAAAAAAAAAAAAACATTAACATGTAATCATCAGTTTAAAATTTTAATTTAATTTTATGAGTTATATGTTTAATTTATTTAATAAATAAGTCTGATTACTATTAAAGTTTATGATATAATGTTAATCATATTAAATTTTTTAATAAAACATCCTTAAATTGGGTCATCGTCAATAACTGATCAACTTAAATATTTATTGTTACAATAAATTATCAACTTAAATATTTTATTTTATTTTATCAAATATGTCTCATCTATTTTTATCCCAGCGTTACTCTCATTATGCACATATGGGAGTAACCGAGTTATATACTTAAATGATTTAATAAACAGGTTACAAACAAAAATTGTCAACCATACTAAAAAGTGCCAACACTTCTTATGTTATGAAGTGCTACAGATACTTATACAAAGAAACTGTATTTGTGTCCACTTCTTAACACTTCATATTTTTCTACTATTAAAAATATATATATATATATAAGAAAATCTTTACTCAATAAATGTATATAAATAAAATATATATGTATATGTTGTTTGTGCAATATATATAATTTATTCATTTTTAGTTTTTAATTTTTTATACAAAAAATTCTATTAACTTTGATGGAGAATGTATATTAATTATGCATACCCCAATGCGTCATTACCTGATTGACAATAATGCCCTTCCCCATTCTATTTCCGTCGACCTTTCTCTCGCCTTCCCTCCGCCCCCTCAAAACCCACACCAGAATCTCGGCAACTGTTCGATCCCTCTTCATGGCGGACCAAACCCACTCCAATTCTTCAAAAACCCAGTCCCCAAATGACCACAAAACCCTAATAAATTACCCAGTGCCACTGTCTCCGCCATTGCCAACCATATCCAAGGACATAGAACTTAGCAGAGCCATGTCTGCTTCTTCGAAATCGAGCCTATTTTCTCTCTCTAGAACTGATGTGATCTTCGAGGACGATTGGCTCATCGCCGTGAACAAGCCTCAAGGGGTTTATTGTGAGACCGTCTTGTCATCAATCCCCAACCTACTCGATAAATCCAGTAACTCAGCTGAACCCGGTGAGTCTTCTAATATTTTCTGTTCATTCAATTTATGGGTTATTTTTGGTTTTCCATGATAATGGTTGATGAGCTTGGATCACCTGTTTAACTCTTTGAGTTGACACAGATGCTGCAGGATTGTGCTTATTTTAATGGGGTGAAATTGGACTCTTTGCTTTGAATTCTAAAATAGGTAAGGACATGAGAAACATCGAACTTTAGATAAAATTTCAAATGAAATTGTAGATCTTACTATGATTGCTAACTAATGGGGCGTGGACTGGGTTCAGTTGATTCACTGTAAAATAATTTTTGATTGCTTTATTGGGTTTTAGCACACATGTTTCAAAGCAATAAGAATTCAGTATTCTGAGGGTTAAAATTGCTTCGGTAAGGCTTCACCTAAGAATTCAGTATTTTTGGTTCCTTTATAAGCGTGACATCAAGTCATTAGGTGTTTAGTTTAGTTAAATTGATTCATATGAAGCTCATTAATTACTGAGCTGAGCTCATGAAGTGTTTCCAAATAAAACAAGCTTCATTTTCAATGTTCTAGGCCATTTAGACAGTTAATTGATGAACCAGCACTTTAATAGCCCTAGACCAATGTTAAATGGACTGTGGATCTTATAGTAAACAGACGTAAATGGGTTCTACTAAAAATTTTTGTATAGCAGGGGTATGCCTATATAGCTTTTAGCTCATGTAGTAGCACACTGATTTTCGAATCCTACTTACATCAGTCTCTTGAAATGTTATGATCATTACCCTATACTGTCATGAAACACTGAATCTTATTAGGTCTTGGTTCAGAAAGAGATAAGCCTAAGAAATGAAGTCTGAAGCCACTAAATTTAGTTTTATGAATATCCATGTTTTCGACCACGCGATGTGGATTTCACATCGATATGTACTATTGAATTGTTGGATCCTTGCTGCAATTGAATCCAGTAGATGGACAATTGTATTGTGTGTGTGTGTTTTATGCGTGTTTATTTGTGTTTTCCTTTTTCTTTTTTCTTTTTTTATTTTTTTATCTGCAACACCAATAGTGTAATCTGATTAAATCCATAAACAAATTATGTAATGAAAACAAAAAAATGATTCTTGGCTGGTTTTAGCAATTGAGTTTTCCTGAATACTGAACGATGTTCAAAATCTTGATTCTCAGGGACCCAAGAAAACATGCCAGAGCTTCATCTTGCTAATAGACTTGATCGTGACACTAGTGGTGTAATGATAATCACTAAATCACACAAAGTAGCTGCTAAGTTTGTGAAGGCCTTTACAAATCATAAGGTTAGGAAAACATACATTGCTTTCTGCATTGGGGCAGCTCCAAAATGGGGAAAAATCACCATCAAGTCAGGTCATGGTCGATCAAAGTTTGGAGCCTGGCGTGTGTATGCTGCCTCAGACGTGGGTCGGACACTTCCAGGCGGCTCAGTTGTTAGAGACATGGAAACTTCATTTGAAGTACTATCAGTGAATGGGCAAGCACATTCCAGAGAGTCATCTGAACTAGTAAAAGATGAAGAAAATGTTATAGTTGTTGAAGAGAAATCTCTAATTGACCATGATATGGAGAAGGATGAGATTGTGGTAAGGGCTTATCCTCAAAGTGGAAGAACACATCAAATTCGCTTGCATTGCCAATATCTTGGAATTCCCATAAGAGGGGATGTGAAATATGAGGGTGTCTATGAGTGGAATGGGAGAACTTATGATGGTCATGAACTTCATGCAGAGAGCTTGTCTTTTGAACACCCTGTTACTGGTCTTCATGTTATGTTTCAGGCTCCGCTGCCTTTGTGGGCAAGCCAAGCATTGCAGCCTTTATAAAGATCTCTTATCAACTCGGTGAGATAATACACTGTTGATCTCTCTCTCAGTTGTAGATTAAATTTTTTCCCCAGATTGCATGCAATTATATATATATATATATATTTCTTTTAAATTTGAAATGTGATTGGATAATAGGGTCCTAGATTAGTTTTTTCTCTTCTTGGTTCAAAATAAAGTAAAAAAAATGACCTCATTTATTAATTGTGTCTGTCTAAGTTCTTGACCCTTTACGCTTGTGGTTGTGCATTGACAAATTATTACATACCTGGAACCCCGCCCCCCCCCCCCCCCCCCCCCCCCCCCCCGGGCGAGTATTCCTTCGTTATTGTGTTTTGGGTAGTATCAGTGTATCCTTAATAATATGAACAAAATTAAGAAGCTTGTGGCTGGCAAAGACAATTTCTTTCCTCCCTTGTTGGTAGAGCAACTCTTGTTCAGATGGTAGTGGCGACATGGCTGCTATTGTTGCAACAAATCTCCCGGTAGTCTGAATGACATGTTGCAACAAATCCCTCAATTTTCTTGCTAAGGATGTTGCCTTTGTCTTTAATGACAAGTGTTTGAAAGCTTTTGAGAAGCTTAAGACCTTGTCAACTTCGGCCCCGACTGGTCTGATCTTATTTATTTAGATAGTACAAATTGAATTCTAAGAGGAGAATGAAAGGAGAAATTCTCTGTTCACATTGGTTATTTTAGTTTATTCATTCACGAAGGAAGTTTGCAACATATTTATCTAAGGAAGTAGCTTTGTTACTATCGCATGCAAGTTTTACTTGGCTTATTTGTTGGACTACGTAGACTCTCTCACATTTTGCTATTTGGAATCATATGGATCAGTTAAATGGGGGTGTTTCCTGGCGAAACTGAAGATCATAAACATTTATCCAGCGGCATCTGTAAGGTCATTTCTCCTAAACCAGAAGTTGGACCAGGTCTGGAGGATTCCCGACAAGCAAATTATTAAGCTTTGCTCGTGAATCTGGGCTGGCTTCTTTGGAGACTATTTTTAAGCTATGGGAACAAACCTTAAGCAAGGGCTGATGGCTGATGAAATGAAATGAATTCATGTAAATTCAAGTTCAGATTCATGTTTTGGCTACACAACTAATTTCATGATATGGGTTATTAGAGAAGGGTTTTCTCTTGGTTGCATTTACGCAGTATGACTGTATGAGCATTGCTTTTTTCACCTACTGTTGTTCCTTCCTGACGACGGAGTTACCCAGATCAGACTAATCTGGGATTAAACAAGACTTCCTCTGAAGCAAATCTTTTAGAAAATATAGTCATATCCTGTATTCATATGTAAAAAATAGTTAGAACTTTATAAAATCAATTTTGTATCGGATTGGATCTTGTGAAACACAGCCCGCCTAATTTTTTTTTTTTTGGAAGTTGAATCGAAAACACACACATTATCCACAATATGTTCATGTCTTGTAATGCTCTACTATACTCACTGTTTTGCTGTCTCTATTTTGTACCGGGGGATGAGAAGCAGCAATGCTGGATTTGGGAGATTAAAAAGTAGAACAATGTGTTAGAAATAAGCATGCTCTTAGAAGCATTGTGACCAAAATGGATGGAGAAACTAAACACGTGACCAACTAGGTAACACACACTCGCAAATGCTCACCATGAGACTCGAACCCCCACTACGAGATTTGAACTCCTCATCTCTCCTTTGAGGGAAGAAAAGGTCGAGGTCCCTTTTAGCTCATCTGAACAAAGTCTTAAATCAACTATGCTTAACCTTGCCTTTTCTAAAAGAAAAAGTTCATAGATAAAGAATAAAGAGACCAAATTGAAATGGACCACTTCCTATGCTCTCTTCATTTGAGAAGAAATCTTATACTACAACCATTTCTACCACTGTGTGTGATTGGAGTGTACATTTGTATATAACTGTAGGATACCTAACATTTACTGAATTTCACCCTTCGAATGGAGAGAGAGAGATTCTTGGTTAGATGGCAAAAACAAAGCAAAGGACATAATCACACACACACACACACACATATGTAAATACAGCTGCCAAATTTACAAATGAGTTAGGGAGCATATAATTTACAAGTTTTGAGTGGCTTCCAAATTAAGCATCCAAAGCTAGAGTAGACAAAATGAGAGCCGGTCCACATTTGGGCATAATAAACTTTTAGTACAATCTTTATTCCAACCACTTTTATCTTTTGCCATGGACCTTTTTCCCTTTCCAATTAATTTTCTAATCTCCCATAAACAAATCATTTTCAAACCATTTCCATGGTTTCTTCACCATCAACCTTGACATCTTCAACATTGCTTTGGTAGTATTTTAACTACTTCAGAACCATCTAGAAAGAAATTGGTGAGGCACACAAAAAAACCAAAAAAAAAAAAAAAAAAAGGAATTTAAGCATTTTTTTTTAAAAAAAAAGAGAGAAAAAGAAGAAGAAGAAGAAAATGTTACCTCAATATTTTTTTTTTATAAAAATAGAAAATAATGCTTCCCACAAAATACAGAGTAATTGTGCCCATGTCAATTATTTCTTTTTGATTATACACCTATAAAATCCCACTATTTCCTTCACTAAAATTACTAAAAAAATTCACTATTCCCCTTTTGAAAAACTAATATATGAATATTTAAAATTTATTAAACTATTCTTAGGTTTTGAAAACTATTCCAAATTAATACTGTAATTCTAATTAGTTTTAGGATTTCAAAAGGGATAATAAATTAAAGAGAGAAACAAGGGTCAATAAAATTCAAATATATATTTAGTCAAAGCAGTTTCAAGTGATAATCACTCATTAAAATCACATCACAATCAACTCTTACCTTGACACCCCCATTATAAATTTATCAGGGTATCGTAATTACAAAAATAATTAAAAAAAAAAAATCAAGCACGAAGAACATGTTTGCTTTTTGGAATTTGGAGTTACCAAATATATACGTACATATATCATTATTTTTCATTGGTAACATCTAAAAAAGTGAACCAACTGAAATTAGGCACATGCCTAGTGGCAGTCCGTCACTGACTTCTGCACTTCCAATTACTGCTAGCCACGTCAAATCCATGACAATCAAAGCTGACATGGAACGCTATGATTCGTCCACGTCATCCCCTCACTCCAACTCGGATGTAAACCCTGAGTGAAATTCATTTTATTCTCCACCGTAAAAACCACACCACATTTCGATTATATAACTCCCACCACTTCACTTCATAAACCCAGTCTCTCTCTCTCTCTCTCTCTCTCTCTAGCCATGGCGATGGTGAGACGAAACCCTAATCTGCTCTCTCTCATTGTAGTACTCTCTCTCCTCTCGATCGCATACGGAAAAGTCTTCTTCGAAGAACGTTTCGACGGTACCTCCGATCTCTCTCTCATCTATATTAGCTTGTATTCCGATAATTTATTAAGGTTTTTGATGGTTTAATGGATTGAATTAGCGTTGAAATTGTTGATTTTTTATTGAAAGATCGAGAGTTCTATATGTTTTTGTCTCTCGATCTGATAATACGCCATTTCGTTTTGCTCAAATCTGCGAGAGTACGACTTTCGCGGTGTAGATCTGCGAACAAGTAGATGTTGTATATTGATTTTTTTTTTTTTTTACATTTTGTATTACATTATCTGTTTAATGGCACATTGTGGTTATGTTAAATAAATCTCACTTATTGCGATCAAGTTACTGCGATCGCTTGGTATTTGAGAGTTCAGTCTTGATCAGTGCATTAATTGTTCGAATTAATTGCTGTTAGGTTGTATAGTTATTATATCTCGAATTTAGTGCTCATGCATTTGTTCGATTTATTTATCTGAATAACTATAGGTTGGAGAAGATTTGTATTCGTGCAGTGTACATGTCAAATCATGGTGGTTTGATTAGAATAAAATTAATAAACCATATTCATTCTCTCTGTTATACATTGGGATTCTACTGAGGCTTGTATGTGCCCCCACGGAAACCTAATACCTATTGACTTGCACAAATTCGTGTAAACATATGTACCTTTGTATTTATGTTGAATTTGTATTTACTATGTTCATAATGCTAATATGTGAACTAGGAAAAATTGTAACTATTGTTTTTTTATTAAGAACTTTTGTGTTCTGATCATTTGCTTCCTTTGGTGAATTGTTAAGATGGATGGGATAAAAGATGGGTTAAATCTGACTGGAAGAAGGATGAGAAAATGGCTGGTGAGTGGAATCACACTTCGGGCAAATGGAATGGAGACCCTAATGATAAAGGTACCCTTCTGTTCCATATCTATACTGTTAATATGATACCTTTGGATCTTTATAAAGTTTTCAGGTCCTCATTTGTTCTTGCTGAAACCTTTTGGTATAATGACAAATGTTCGCTCATTATGACTTTGATGTCCTGATATAGGTATCCAGACCAGTGAAGATTATAGGTTCTATGCCATTTCAGCTGAGTTTCCCGAGTTTAGCAACAAGGATAAGACATTGGTCTTCCAATTTTCTGTTAAGCATGAACAGAAGCTTGACTGTGGTGGTGGCTACATGAAGTTGCTTAGTGGTGATATTGATCAGAAGAAATTTGGTGGTGATTCCCCATACAGGTGACACTATAAAACTCCCTTGCTATTTGACATTTCTGCAAATTTTATTTGTTCAAATTGCTGATTTGGCATACTTTATGGGTGATTGCAGTATTATGTTTGGACCGGATATCTGTGGCTATACTACCAAAAAGGTCCATGCTATTCTTACCTATAATGGGACGAATCAGTTGATCAAGAAGGATGTTCCATGTGAGACTGACCAGTTGACTCATGTTTACACATTCATCCTCCGCCCTGATGCTACCTATAGCATCCTTATTGATAATGTGGAGAAGCAAACCGGTAGTCTGTACTCTGACTGGAGTCTTCTCCCACCAAAGAAGATCAAGGATCCAGAGGCCAAGAAAGTAAATGCTTTTGCATGAACTCTATTAGTTGTGGTTGATTTTTCATTGTATTTGAAACTGAAACTGGTAATGACTCAACTCCATATTGACGACAGCCTGAAGATTGGGATGACAAAGAATACATTCCTGATCCTGAAGATAAGAAGCCAGAGGTAATAATTCTTCAAAATTTTTGGGTCCCAGATCTAAATTGACAGCTTGAAATGTGGGTTTGCAATTCAACTGATCTAAATTGTATAAACAGGGATATGATGACATTCCAAAGGAGATACCAGATACTGATGCCAAGAAGGTAATCATCTAAATTTTCTGTTCAGTTTTGACTGTGTTCAGAAGAATGTTTTGAAAGTGATGCAGTTACTTAGTAAGATGGTTTACAATTTCAGCCAGAAGACTGGGATGATGAGGAAGATGGCGAGTGGACACCCCCAACTATTGCAAACCCTGATTACAAGGGTCCATGGACGCAAAAGGTTTGTAAACCTCGAGTCGAATGAAAATGTTTTATTTGATTAGATAATACTGTGATATAACTATTCCCCTCTTTGCAGAAAATTAAGAATCCCAACTACAAGGGAAAATGGAAGGCACCCATGATTGACAATCCAGGTATTTTTCACTATTAAAACATTGATACATTTTTGTGGCAACATATTAGTGTTGCAATTTTGCTCACTAAAGATTTGCTTTTATTTACAGACTTCAAAGATGACCCAGATCTATATGTTTTCCCAAAATTGAAATACGTAGGCATTGAGCTATGGCAGGTAAAAAAATTGTTTGGCACTTTATTTGCTATTTTTATGGGATGAGAGAAACTATAACTAATGCATGGATATCTTTTAGGTAAAAACTGGAACCTTGTTTGACAATGTCTTGATTTGTGACGACCCGGATTATGCGAAGCAGCTGGCAGAAGAAACATGGGGCAAGCACAAGGATGTATGTTGCTGTTCTCTTCTTTTGATTTACTTCCTTGCCACATATATATTTTTTCTCCTGTTGATGTTCTGGGATTGTATTGATTTTGCAGGCTGAGAAGGCAGCGTTTGATGAAGCAGAGAAGAAGAAAGAGGAAGAGGTAATGCTATTGTATTTTTCTCATTGAGTAGACTAACTGCACTTTTTGCAGTATGAGTAATTAAGGGTTTGAGGGATTCTAGCTTCTGAATCTTATCAATTCACTAATTAATTAGATCCTCCGGTTCTCTTATCAATTGATGAAATTGAAATGCTCTCTAAGTACATGAGTTTCTACTTTAGCAGATGGACATTGGTTATAAAAAAACAGTTGTTACCCATGTCGAATTTGAAGTACATCTTCCTTCTTAATGCGCTGAAGAAGTCAGATTATACCAGTTCTACTTTTAACTCCTGAATTTGGTTTGTCTAACAGGAATCGAAGGAGGATCCAGTTGATTCTGATGTAAGCTAACAAACTCCTCTTCAAAGAATCTGAACTTGTATCTTTCATCTATGGTTTTAATTGTTATAAAATCTGTTTTTTTTTTCCAGGCTGAGGATGAAGATGATGCCGCCGATGCAGATGATGGAGACAAATCAGACAAGAAAGATGGTGCAGACAGCGACGACGATGATGATAAGCATGTAAGGATTTTTCTTCTGTAATAATTGCTTGCTTTGATCAAATCTTCAAGGACTATCCATTGATTTCTCATTTCATTTTTCTGGTCCTTTATATTTGCAGGATGAATTGTAAGTTGAGGTGAGCACTCTGCGATGTTCATCTACTGACAATTCGATTCGATTAAGTTTGGGCAAAGGCTCTCAAAAATTTTCCCCCTTCTATTTGAATTTTTAGCTGTAGTCTTTACTAGTAGGGAAAGAAACATCTGGAGGCTGCATGCAGAAAATGTGGACTTTAATGAGCATTTGAACAAAGGGAAACCTGTCCCATTTTTTGTTCAAACATTTTATAAAATAGTTTGGAATTTTAATTATGTGATTGTCCTCTATTTTTAGTATTTTATCATTAAATTTCTCTAAAAAAGATGTAGCATGGTTGACTTAATCAAGATTTTCTTATTATCCATCATTTATGTTACACCAACTAGCTATAGAATTTTCAGTGTTATTATTGGTTTATCTGTATACGTGTATAACACATGTACAAAACTTAAATCAACAAAATTTACCTCACACACACCATCACAAATGCATATACATAATTCTGCTACAGTTTAGCCATTTTGCGTTATAGCTCATCATCTTCAAAAGCCAAAACTCATTTTCCATTCAAAAGCCTCTCGGATTGATGTGTCACTCACTATCTGTTTGTGTGGGTGCACATTGTGAGGCGAACAAGTCCCTGCCTGAAGCCTCGTGCTAATCAAATCATTCGATTAACCGGGATTGATGATATGTTGCATGTCTTGAGCTGATCCCAAATTCAGACAGTAGTTGTAGGACTGGATATAAATTTGACCCGTGAAATGGTTCCGACAGAATGTGATCACAAGAAGGAATTGGCACTGTCCTCTGGTTCTCTTGAATGAGAGTTGCCCATTGCCAAGTTGTCTAACCATACAACCCTACATTGAATGTCATTCCTAAGTTGAGTCACAATGGAACATAGTTCCAAAGAGGTCCAGTGTTGGCATCAATCGCAATTAGTATGAAGTTTGACAAACCTTTGGAAATAAGCTTTTTGCGGCAAGGCACAGTATGCTCATAACCATCCTTGGTGCACGAAGGCCCATCATTTGCTCCTGAATTGGAGTTTCTGAATGCAGATTTGTTCATGTAGTCAATGAAACTCAAAGCGGTCTTTTCTGAAGAACTGAACCGATCACTCGTGCTTTGTTTTCTCGAGAACATTAAAAAGATCTTTCCTTCTCTTTACACATAAGTTCTCAATCTTTTTCGAGATTCTTCTCCATTCGATCTTCACCTGAAATCAGGAGCAAAACATGGAAACTTTCTAATCTACTTGCAGGGACTGAATATGTAGCCCAAAATGTTGGATGGAAATCAGTTGGAAGGCCATCACTGTGCATGTTAAGATAGTCTCCTTGTTCAATACTAGTGGAGAAAGAATCAAATGTAGCAAGAAAAATATTGAACCAGAAACAAGTGCCTCTCTCACCAGGATCTTTATCAACAATTTTGATTTCAATCCGAGTCAGTTAAACATATTAGTCAAATACTTGTACATTAATTTATAAGTATAAATAATAAGCTGCACTGCTTCTATAAAATCAAGTAACTTGAGAAAAAAATGCTGAACAAACACTAATTTACTCACCAGAGATTGAACAATACCAAGTCCTAAACCACAGACTCCTTGTTCAAGGTCTGTTTGTTTGAGCTGCACAAAGTTTTCAATACGAACTCCGTCCATATAAGGGATATTGTTGAACAGTATGAGGTTCATCCAAATCTTTCGAACTTCCATTGTTCTTATGACACAGCCTTGACAAACAGTTAGCTCGAACGGAGACATGACCTTCTGATGTGTGGAATAGTGCAAGGTTCTTAAAAGCTGACCTAGAAGGTCCATTCTATCAAACCAGTTACGAGTCTTGTAATCTTGCTCATGCTCTTTTGCTCTGGTTGTTGAGTTGATTCCATTTTCTTTAAGAGTGCCGTGCATAAGACATTTCTCTTCCTGCAGCTCTTAAGATTAAAGTTTCTGGAAATGCAAAACGCGACAACTAAGATAAACAAGCAAAAGTACATGAAGAAGAAAGGGATCAACCTATGGCGGCGAAGATGTTCTTCCTAACCATAAAGAAGTCCATTCTAGTCATGAGCAGTTAAAAGCTTTGCTAGGGCTGTGATGTAGCCCTAGCTTATCACCACTGGTTTGATTGTATTTATTTATTGGAAAACAATTATTTTCATGCATGATTGTGTAACCTAGAGAATTTTTACTTACTTTTCAATAGAAATCGATTTTAAAGTCTTAATTCAATTACAAAGTATTTTCTATCTTTTCTTAGATGTTTAAATCTTGTGATTGGACACAACTCATTCACTTCTTATAGTTGTGAATGAGATGGTTATGCAATGCTTTTTCACTGAATATAATATTAGGGATTTGATGGATTATGTTTAGAGAAGATTGGTCATACTACACCCTAGAGTAGAGTAGTTATGTAGATGATTTATGCTAATCGAAGATAGTCCATACTTAACTTTAATTTTATATTATCTTCTAACTGAATTAATATGTTTCTGTAACCATGATTAATTTCTTATGCATGCTTGTATCTCTCCAATAAATTGATGCAATTGACTAATGGTGCAACGTTAGTGGTGAAATGATTATATCCCTAGTCTCTTCTCTCTTATTTTATTCAACTAGTTTAATTATTGCCTTTTATTTAATTGTCTACTTGGTTCATTAGATTAAATCATCAAAACTTGTTTGTCCTATTTCAAGGTAATTGAGAATTTAATAAATCTATTAACAACTTTATTAATACAAGTCCATTCGGTACGACACCCTTATATCTAAGGGACTTGTATTAATAAAGTTGTTAATAGATTTATTAAATTCTCAATTAACTTGAAATAGGACAAACAAGTTTTGATGATTTAATTTAATGAACTAAATAGAAAATTAAATTAAAAACAATAATTAAATTAGATAAGAAAAATATGAGAGAAGAGACTAGGGACATGATTTCACCACTAACATCGCACTACCAATCAGTTACATCAATTTATTGGAGAGATATGAAACATGCATAAGAAATTAAAACTAAGCATGGACTATCTTCGATTAGTATAAACTATCTACCTAACTATTCTACTTTAGGGTATAGTATAATTTATATTCTCTAAGCATAATCCATCAAAACCCTAATATTATATTCAATGAAAAACCATTGCATAACCATCTCATTCACAACTACAATAAATAAATAAGTTGTGTTCAATCACAAGCCTTAAATACCTAAGACAAGATAAAAAATACTTTACAATTGGATTAAAACTTTTAAAACGATTTCTATTGAAAAGTCAAGCAACAATCCTCTAGGTTACACAATTATGCATGAAAAATATTGCATGTTTTCTAATAAACAAATACAATCAAACCAGTAATGCTAAGTTAGGGCTACATCACAGCCCTAGCAAAGCTTTTAACCGCTCATGATTGGAATGGACTTCTTCATAGTTGGGAAGAACATCTTCGCCGCCATAGGTTGATCTCTTATTTCTTTTTCTCCTCTAAATTGAGCATCTTGCTCTTATGTATGATGATCTCCCAATGGTGTAGAGAACTCTCTTTCAATAAGAGAAGAATAGCCCCAAAGTTACCTTTTCCAAATAGGATATATATGGAAATTCGGCCAAATTTGGACTCCAAAATTCGTGCTTACTTCCAGCCTAGTTTTAACAGGTAAAGCCATAATACTAAAATGGGTTCAAGTTCCCAATTTTGGAGAAAGTTTCCTAGTTGGAAAAAGATTCTTCCTTTTCTTCTTGTTTCCATTCTCATCAACTTGTGGCGTCTCTTGGGCTTTTTTCTAGGTCTAATTAGACTTGGATCTTCATCATTGCTCGGCCCAATGAATGTGGTCTTCTAACCTCATAGATATCATCTTTTAAAGGCCAAATTACTGATCTTGACTGATATTATAATTAAAATCCTGAAATAAAGAAAAGCACTATAACAATAAAAAAAAATAACAAATAAAACTACTACTTAAGAATAAAACATGCAAGTTAATGGACTAAAATATATAACATTCAACGCCTGACATGCGCGAGCCCTAACTACTATTTCTGTGAACAAGGCTTACCAATCCCGAGGAAGGCTATTACATACACCGGATATGAATTGCAACCAAATGCATTAATCAAGTTCACTAATGCAGGCAACAAAAAATTAGTTAAATGAATAACATTGCTGATATAAGGCTTACAATATAGTTTTATGGTATTACCAAGTGTTGGATCATCACGTAAGTGTTGTAGGTCACAAAAATGTGGTGTAAACCTCCTATTCAAGAGCGCACACCCCTTGGCAATGTAGTTATGAACTTATAAAACCATGTAACATATCTAAGTTGTGTTTGTTATTAATTAAGACATAGCTATTCAACTCCAGCAATTTCAAGGTGTGGGATCGAAATTAATCAAGGCTTCTTGAAACTTTTTTAAAAATTGAAAATAAAATATTTATATTTGAGATCTCTATAATTCAAAATATAAATATTTTATTAATAATATGCAGAATTTAACCATTTTACTGTCTACTTTATTCGAGTGGTAAAGCTTTATATTGATACTACCTTCTTTCTACTATTATTTTATTTTTTAATGATGGAATGAATTAGTACTTATGTCCATGGCTGGTCTAGGGATGCCAACTGGAGCGGTTCTGGTTGGGTACGTATACCCAAATCTGTTCTCATCCAAAACTGCTTAAACGGTACCTTGCCATCCCGTTCCCGCCCCCATTTATGTTTCTGTACCCCACGGGTACCCGCCCTATTTACTTCCAAATGTTTCTCCAATTTTTTCTTTTCCTTCCCAAATACAATTATTCAAGAGTTAAAGAACAAATTTCCTGAACAACTCATTTCGACTAAAATTCATTTTTTTTTTTTTTTTATAGATTTTATGTACATTTTGAACCTTTTTTTTTCCTGGTCAAAAGCATTAAGTCTACCAAATTTTTTTGGGAAGAATTATTTTTCCTTTTTTTGAAAAAAAAATTGCAATATAGACTCTTAAAATACTTAATAATGTATGTTGGCATTGGGCACTAGTTAACAAGTGTCATAGACTCATAGGGCATTCCTTACCAAATAATCTTAGTGGTGTGACAATCTACCGGTTATAGTCAAAATGCACCACTCAACACAAAAGCACTAAATAAACATTTCTTTCTTGCACGTTCTTACTTCCCGGTGGTGACCAAATATTCTACTCCCTGATATTGATGTCACCCTTATCGCCAAACTAATAAAACCACAACTAATCTTGG